GCGCGGGCCGGGCTGCGCGGGGCCCGAGGCGGCGGGCGGCAGCTTCCAGTGCCGGCTGCAGGCGCTGGGCTTGTGCGTGAGCGGCGAGGCGCTGCCGCCGTGCGGCCCCGAGCCCAAGGAGGGCTGGCCGGGGGGGTTGCCGGGTGCCGCCGCCACCGGGTACCCGCTCCCACTGCCCCCCTGCCTCTACCGCGGCCCCGGCATGTTCTTCTTSGAGTGAGACCCAATAAAGCTCTGTGCCCAGCGCTGCCTGCTCTCGTCTCTGTGCCCTGCTCGATGGCGGCTCCAGGRGATCCCGCAGAGCCTGGGTCGGGGGTGGCTCCATGTGCTCCAGCCTCGCTCCGGGCTCCGTGTGTCTCACAAGTGATCCGGGCTCAGCAGCAACCGGGGCGACTGCGCTGAGTGGGGGCCAAAGCCCCCTCCCTGCTGTGGCGGCTCCCACTCGGAGCCACTGCTGGGTCCCACGGGCTGGGAAAGCAGCGGCGGCTCCGTGGGATTCCTGGGGGCTGATTCAGCGCAGGCAGCTGTGGAGGGATGGTCCYGGCCGCGTCACGGCCCCGACGTGGCCGTGGTGCCCGTGGCCCCGGGGGTGGCGGACACGGCGTCCCGCGGCTCTGCCGCCTGGCGCGTTCCCACGCTCCGCGCGCCGGCCCGACGGCAGCTCTGCCGTCCGCTCCGAGCAGAGCCGCCGCGGGGCTCCCGCCCAGGACCCCTCGTGGCGCTGCGGGAGGTGCCGGCGCTAGCCGGGTCCCCGTCCCACTGCTCCGAGGCCAGTGGAGCCCTGGGAGCCCCGCGGGGCCGCCGGCACCGGACCAAGGGCCAGCGCTGGCGTCACTCTGGGACCGGCAGCGCCGCGGCCGCGTCAGCCCCGCCACGGACCCGACACCGCAGCCCTGTCACGGCAGGAGCGGGGGCGGCCCCGCGCCCCCCGGCCCGGCTTCCCTTCGCTCCCCCTTTCCCCGCCGCGGCCGGACGATCCCCACGCGGGGCTGGCGTCTCCGCGGGCGGCCCCCGCGCGCGCCTGACCCCGGCCCCGCTGCCGCTCCCCGGGGGCGCGGGCGGAAGCGAGCGCTGCGGAGCGGTGCCCGGGGCCGGCGGGTTCCCACGGAGCGAGCCCGCCCGCCCGCCCACCCGCGCTGCGGCCCCGCGTGGGAACGCGCTGCTCCCCACTCCACGGCCGAGCCGGGCACCGTGCAGCACCGCGGGCACTGGGAGCCCGGGACTCCCTCCTCTTCCTCCCCCACTATTCCCTGCGCCACAGCCGAGCCAGGCATTGCACTCAGCGCTACAGGCACCCAGGACTCCCTCCTCTTCCTCCCCTGTTGCTCCCTGTGCCGAGGCAGAACCTGGCACCTGGGACTCCCTCCTCTTCCTCCCCTGCTGCCTCCCACACTGCGGCAGAGCCGGGCACCGTGCGCGGTGCTACCGGCACCCAGGACTCCCTCCTCTTCCTCCCCTGCTGCTCTGCGCTGGGTGGCCTTGCTGGGTGGGCTGGCACCCTGCCCGTGCGCCTGCTCTGGAGGGTGCCGGACACCCCAGACCCTTCCTGCACAGGGGGGTGTGGATAAGTAGGGATGGGGGCTCCTGGCTGGAGATGGTCTGGGACACTGCACATGTGCACGCACACGGGTGTGCTCACACACGCACACACACAGGTGTGCACACACGCGCTCGGGTGTACACACAGACGTGCACAAACACACATGCATGTGCACACACATGCATGCAAGCACAAACAGGGGCGCACACACACACGCACATGGACGTGCACAAACATGGGCACACGTACACACACACGGGATGTGCTCACACACACACACGGGTATGCACACAGGTGCACACAGATGGCTGTGCACATGCACACATACATTCACATACACACACACAYGGGTGTACAYACGCAYRCACACATGCACACGGCTGTACACACATAGAGTAACCCAGTCCGCATGTCTGGAGGAGCCGCTGATGGGATAATGGCACCGACTGCCTAGACCTGATTGGGAGCACGGGGTCTAGCCCAGAGCTCCTGTTCCGCGTGGCCCTGGCAGAGCCGCCCTGGACACCTGTGTGTGCCAATGGTTTGGGGACAGACCCACTATCCTCCCTTCCTCCTGTAGCCTCTTCTTCCTCCTGCAGCCTCCTCTTTGTCCTGCATGGAACAGGTGCTGCTGGAGGGCAGTGCCCTCGAGGGCACCATGGGCCAGGCGCTGCCGATGGGGAGGGGGTGCCCTGCCTGCCTCGGCACTGCTGCACACCCGGAGCCAGAGCTGGAGCCGGGAAAGGGGCAGCGTTCCAGCAGCCGGGAGCGGAGCGGGGCCGGGGCGACCCTGCAGCCCCCGCAGGGTGCAGGGCCCTGCAGCTCCCGGAGCCCAGACAGGAAGGAGACGTCACCGCCGCGGAGCGTAACTGGAACCAGATGGGGCCGCGGTATCTCCAGGAGCGTGGGGTGGCCCTGGTGGATCCGGGCAAGGAAGCGCCTGGGAGGGACCTGCACCATCCCACTAACCGCTCTGGGGCCGTGGGGCCCAGCTGGGCAGCAGCAGGAGGACGGTGGGACACAGGTGGCACCATGGCCCAAACGGGGCCAGGAGCAGTGCGTGGCCCGTGGCTCCCGGGACTTGCCCCCGTGCTGGGTATGAGGGGTCCCAGACCCCCAGGGCTGCTCGCGCGTGGCCGGACGGACCCCATATGGTACTGGCTGTGCTCCCTCAGTCCGGCCACCTGGCAGGGACCAGCAAAGACCCCGGGAACCGCTCAGAGGGACACGGGAGCCTGAGCCGCTGCTTCCCCGCTCTGGAGGAAGGAGCCTTGTGGGCAGGAGGGCCCCGCTCGGCGCCGCTCCGCTCTGAGGGCAGCTCACGGAGCCGCGCACAGGCAGCGCTGGATGCCCATGGAGCCGACCCCGCTGTCCCCTCCGCGGTGCCGGCCCCGCCAGCGCTCCGGTGGGAGGCAGAGCCGGGCGCAGGGCTCGCTCACACCTGTACATTTATTTACACGCAGCGCAGAGCGGGCGCCACTCTGCCCGGGCCGGGAGCTGGCAGCACCTCTCCCCGGCATCTCACCCTCTTCAAACCCCAAAGCTGGCGGGGACGGGGACGGGGASGGCGCCAGCCCCGCGCGGGCCGCGGGCAGCGCTCGGAGCCGCCGGGCGGGCCAGGCCGGGCCGGGCCGGGCGCCCGGAGCCGAGGCCGCCCCCGCGGCCCGCGGCCGCTCCTGGCCCCGTGCCCGGCGGCGCCGCGGCCGCAGTTCCTGCGCGTTGGTGGTCGGGCCGGAGCGAGCGCGGCGCGGGGGAGCGCGGCCCAGCTGCTCTGCATTAGGACGCCCCGCGCGCCCCAGCTGGGCTGGGAAGGGCTGCTGTTCCCCGTGGCAGCGCCGCGGGCAGGGAGGGGAGGCGGGAGCACAAAGGATCCTTCTTTGCGCCCGGCTCCCAGCTGGGGAYGCTCCCGGAATCGCGCTGCGCTTCCTCCCTTCCTGAGCGGGAACGCGGCCCGCGGGCTCCCGCGGGAGCAGGCGCYGCTCCCGCGCCAACACGGCCCCTCCGCTGCCCCCGGCCCTTCCCACCGCGCTCCGGCCGGGAGCGGGGCTGGCGCCAGCGAGCCAGGCACCGCCGGGTCCAACAGGAACGCGCGCACGCCGCGGCATTCACAGGCTGGAGGCACAAATCGCAGTCCAGCAGTGACAAGGACGGGGCCTGTCCAGACAGCGGTGCTCAATGTGGGGACGGGCTCGTCCCCTCCGAGGTCCCGGGAGGGAAGTGACACGGAGCARTGACGCTGCAGCAGGGTGCAGACACGCTGCACCAAGCCGGGGCCACCCGGAGCGGGCGCATCCCACCCTGCAAAACGCGGGGCGGTCGGGGAGAAGGTGAGAAAGAAATCCAGAGCCGCTGCCCTGGAGCCGAGACCTACAACTATCCATAAGCAGTGGCCCCGCAGTCCGGCGAGGCCACGTTGGCTCCACGGGAGCAAGGAGAGCTGGAGCGCCGGGGAGTCCCGGCAGGGCCGTCTCCAGGGGCCGGGGCAGCGGCGCAGGGAGAGGCCGGGGCGGAGCGAGGGGCGTCGCGGGCGGCAGCAGCCACACGAGCAGCACCCCGGGGCGCGCGGGACCCGGCTGGAGACCCTGCTGCGTCCAGAAGCACGAGCTGCGGGTCCCCGTCCGGCGCGGTGCTGGGCTGGCCCGCGTGCCTCAGCCCCTTCCCAGCGGCCGCTCTTCRGCCTCGACGTGCTCGTCGCCCAGTGTCCTCGCGCGGAGGCCAAGCTCAGACCCCCAGCGCCGTCAGCGACCCCGAGCTCGTGATCTTCCTGAAGCGGTTGGCAGCGCACACGCCGATGAAGTTCTTCTGCAGGAGGGAAGCAGGAGAGGCTGGGGTGAGGGCAAAGGTGGCAGCCCCCGGGGCAGCACCAGGCAGAGCCCTGGGCTGCTGAGGAGCTGGGCCAGGGGCGAGCGGGACCCCCGCAGAGGGGCCCAGCCCTTGGAGACCCTCTTCGCCCTGCCCAGATGCCCAAAGGACCCTTTCGGAAGGGGGCAGCTCTGAGGGCAGCTGGGTGACAGACCCCCATTTGGGGCACCCACGCAAGGCCAGCACCCATGGGATTGGGAAGCTGCTTCTCCAGGCTCAGACGTCCCTAAACTCCCACCAAGGAAGGGCCTCGACCGTCCCCGCCGTCGCACCCTCCAGACGGCGCTCGGGAGCCCACGCACCTTCCAGCGCCTCCGCATGACGTATTTCTTGAGCAGCACCTGGGACTTGAGGCGGCGGTTGCTGCGCTTGGCCTTCTCGGCCAGGTTGTTGAGCCACGGGTGCTGCAGGCACTGGCCAGCGCTCATGCGGGCGCTGCGGGCGACAGGACACGGGTCGCCCTGCGCAGCCCCCGGCCCTGCAGCCCCCGGCCGGCCCCTTCCCCAGCCATCCACCAGCTCCACATCCACAGAAACCTCCCGGGGTCGGAACCAGGCGCTCGCTGCCCATACCCCCATAGGCGCCGTGAGCAGGGGACCTTGCTGGCAGGTAGGTGGCACGCAGGGATRGACACCAACCCTCGGCCCCTTTGCACCTCCGCCAGCCTCACACCTTTTCTCCTTGATGATGAGGTTCGACACAAAGTCCTTGGCCTCCTCAGAGACGCTCTCGAAGGTCTCTTCGTCGAAGTACCAGTTGGCAGCCAGGACGTTGTTGAGCGTCTCGGTGTCGTTGTCGCCCAGGAAGGGGGAGAGGCCGCTGAGCCTGGGAGAGAGGGGAGAGTAGCTTGAGGCACCGGGTGCCCTTGGGCTGCACGGCCCCRTTTCTCTGCCCATTGCCAATTCCTGCTGCGCAAACCGAGCCTGGCTGCAGCCACAGGGCTCCGGCACCCACCCTGTCCTGGGTTCCCAGCCCTGCAGCCAATGGTCCCGGTGGGATCCAGCACCCGGCACCGGTGCTCCGGCACGTGGGAGCCTCGGCCACCCGCTCCATGCTGGGCAGTGGCCAAGGGTGACGGCGGGAGCTCGGCCCCAGCGCCCCAAAGGGTCCCCGTGGCGCAGCCCRTCACCTACAGCATGTAAGTGATGACTCCCATGCTCCACATGTCCGTGGCGTAGGAGACCTGCTCGTAGTTCACCACCTCCGGTGACAGGAACTCCGGCGTGCCGAAGTTCACCTTGAGCTTTTCCTCGGGGTTGTACCTGCGAGGGGCAGCGCGCAGGGAGGGAGCAGGTTGTCCCCACGCCGCTGTCCCCAACCCCACAGAAAGGCCAAGCCGGTTCCCACCAGACCCTCCTGGTTTGGCCCCGCTCCCTCCTGCATCACCCTGTTATTACAGCACTCCCAACCCGTGTCCCCAGGGCAGTGCTGCAGCCAAAGCCATCCGTRGTCAGAAGACACCCTGTCCCCACGGCTCCTTCCTCCTCACGGGGCCGGGACAGCCTCCCTGTCCCCATGTGCTGGTGTGAGGCCGAGCAGCAGCAAAAGAAAGGGAGAGCAGAGGGGGAGAGCGGGAGCGCAGATACCTGCGAGCCAGCCCGAAGTCGATGATCTTCACCATGTGCCCGGTGGCAGTGACGCAGAGGATGTTCTCGGGCTGCAGGGACAGGGAGCCTGGCATTAGATCCCAGGGGGGCAGGAGACCCCCGGGCAGAGGCCGTGCGGGGATTTGGTGGCCGGTGCATCGCGGGGTCGTGGTGGGTCTGGCGGGGCGGGACGAGCGGCTCTGCCCGTGCGGAGCAGACCCCAGTGCGGGTGGTCGCCCCGGCGTGGCCCTGCCGCACACCTTGAGGTCGAGGTGCAGCACGTGCATGTGGTGCATGAAGCGGATGCCCTCGCAGATCTGCCGCACGAACACCATGCAGTCCACTTCGGTCAGGTGGTAGTCGTCGTCGATGATGCGCTCGAAGAGCTCGCCGCCCTCCACGCTGYGCGAGGCCGCGGTGTCACCCGGGCTCCCCGCGCCGCCCGCACACCCGTCCCCACCAGTGCAGCCCCCCGGCCAGCATGGGGGGGACACCAAAGCGGGAGCCAGTGAGCATGGGCACCCCCTTCCCATGGAGGGGCCAGGTGAGCTGTCCCAGGACACCCCAGATCCAGGGAGCAGAGAGGGGCAGCATCGCCCCAGCCCTGCGGTGCAACGGGACAGGGAGAGCAGCGGCCACGTGGGAAGGAGCCCCCATAGGGTCCCGGATCATCCTCTGCTTCTGCTGGGCAAGAAGGGCYGGTGGGTCCATCCCCACCTCCCAAGATGATGCAGAACCCCCAGACCACCCCCTGGCCCAGACCCCAGCCCTGTGCCGATGCTCACAACTCCATGAAGAGGATGATCTCGCGCGGCGTCTCGATGGCGTCGTAGAGCTGGATCAGGTTGCGGTGGTTCAGCTGGTTCATCACGTCGATCTCCAGCAGCACCATCTCCTGCAGAGCCCAGGGGTGTCAGAGCCCGGCCGAGCCACCCGAGCAGCGCCGAGGCGGAACCAGGCACCACGTGCACAGCCCAGACGCTGTCACACCCCTCGGTGACACCAGCACSTGCCAGCCCGGTGGCAGCGCGGGCAGGGGGTGCCGTGGGGAGAGCCCGGCCCCCGGTCACACCTTGTCCTTAGCGCCCTGTTTGCGGATGACTTTGGCCGCCAGTTTGAGCCCCGTCTGCTTCTCCGTGCACGTGTGGACTTCTCCGAACTTGCCCCTGTGGAAAGGGAAGGGTGGGAACCAYGGGCAGCTCGTGGGGACCCTTGGGCTCCTCCAGCCGCTGCTGCTGGCCCTGTGGCAGGGCTGGGTCCCCGGGCGCGCGCATCCCCGGCTCCCTCCTTACCCTCCCAGGATGTCCTTGGCGCTGAGGTTGAAGTGGGCACTGACGTTGGCCGCGCGCAGCGTGACGACGCGATGCGCGAAGGGCGCGGGYGGCGGGGGGACATCGTCTGCGGGCAGAGAGACGGGCTCGGGGCGGCCGCCAGCGCCGGGGAYGGCGGCACCGCGCGCCCAGGCTCGGCTCTGTGCGCAGAAAGGCTGGCACCTGGTGGCACGCGGGCCAGGATGCTGCCAGCACCTGGCCTGGCCCAAAACCAGTCCGCCAACCCTGCAGGGGAGCAGGTCCTCTGCTGTCCCCCGCTGATGCCACCCGCCACACCACGCTGTGCCACCCTGCGCACGGCCACCCCGCTGCGGGCCACGCTCGCCCTCTCCGCGCCACCTCGCGCAGTCGCACAGCCCCTCCACGCTGCCCTGCTGAGCATCGCACCGGTCCCCTTGACACCACCAGCCCGCACTGGGCGTCACGTCACCATCCTGCGTGTCACGCTTGCCCCCTCCAGGCCACCGCGCTGCGCGGCAGCGTGTCCCGTCCCGCAGGTCACACCGTGTGCACGGACACGGGACCGGCTCCGAGCACCCTCGCGCTTGGCGAAGCCTCCCGCCTCCCCTCCCGCTGCCGCGAGGATGCTGGATAGCAGGACGTGTCCCTGCAGGGCCGGGCGCGGGTCCTCCCCGCCGCCGCGCGCCCTGCTCGAGCCGCCGCGCCGCATTTAGCCCTGTTTACAGGGCAAGAGGAGCGCGCGGGCGGCGCGCCAGCAGCGCGAGCCAGCAGCGCGAGCCGGGGCTGCCTTACCCAGGATCTCGAAGGGATCCTCCTTGCCGAAGTCCGGCGTGAGGTAGGGGCTGGCGGGCGGCTCTGCCTCGGGCAGGGGCCCCTGGGGAGCCGGTTTCTCAGTGCCCGCGGGCTCTCCCGCAGCGCCCGCAGGCTCTGCCAATGTCCTGTCCTGGGTGCCGGCGCCGCTGGGCGCAGGGACGGCCGCAGCCGGCTGCTCTCCCGGGGCAGGTTGGGGCTCCGGGGCCGCAGCTGCCGGACTGTCCTGCACTGCCGGGGTCTCCTCCGGGATCGTCTCCATGGCCGCAGCCTCCGCCCAGGGCTGGGGCTCCCTGCAAGCACAAGGAGCGGGGTGCTCTGAGCTGGGCCCAGAGCTCCGGCCGCTGCCCGGGGCCGGCGACGCGGTGACGGGCGGGCCCCACGCGGCCAGGGCACCTCTGCGGTACCTCTGGCAGGACGCGGGGCAGCTCAGGCTCTGCTGCAGGACGGGCCGCGCTGGCCCCGAGCCCTCGGGCTGCTTCTGCTTGTCAGCCTCTTCCTCCGCCTTGGCTGCTTCCTCCCCTCCGTGCGGAGCCGGAGCAGCCACCGGGGCTTCCTCCTTCGCGGGCTCCTCCTGCCCCTCGTGCGGAGCCGGCGCCGCGGCCGAGGCCGCGTCCTCAGCAGGTTCTGCCTTCCCTCCGGCAGCCTCTGCCGCGGTGAGAGCCTTCGGCCCCTGACCTTCCTCCTCTCCATCCTGAGCCTCCGCTGCGGCCGTGGCCTCTGCGGGCGCCGCCTTCCCGCCGGCCTCAGCCTCTCCCGCCGCTGGAGCCTCCTCTGYGGGGGCCTTTTCCTTCCCTCCGTCCAGAGCCTCCGTGGCCGCTGGGCCGTTTCCCGGTGCGGGTTCTGCGCTCCCTTCTGCAGCCCCTCCGGGCGCCGCAGCCTTCTCGTCCACAGGCTCCACAGCCGCCGGGCCCTTCTCCTTCACAGGCTCCGTCTTCCCTCCCTGTGGCTCTTCTGCAGCCTCCTTCCTTGCAGCCTCTCCCGTCCCTGCATCCAGACTGTGCGCAGCAGCCGGAGCCGCCTCCGTCACGGGCTCTCCATGCCCTGCTCCGTGGGTTTGGCCGGCGGCGCCCGGTGCCTCGTCCCGTGCGGGCTCTKCTGGGGCAGGTTGGGCTGCGCTGGCCGGGGCGTCGGGCGGGGGCTTCCTCTCGGAGCCCCCCGCGTCGGGGCCGCTGCCGGGCCCGTCCTGCTCCATGTGCCCGGGCTGCGGGGAGGCTCCTGCGGAGAGCGCGGTGAGGGCAGCGCCGCGGCGCCGGCGCCCGTGACTGATCGCCGCGCTGACACCGGCACCTGTCGCGCCGCGGGGCCCGGGCGCGCGGGGGCAGGAGGCGCCGCTCTGGCCCCGCTCCCCTGGGGATCGGGAGGTGAGCGTTCCCGGGGGGTCTAGCGAGGACTGTGAGCCCCAGCCCGCGGAGCTGTCCCCGTCCCCGTGGGGCTCCTTTGCCACCGGCTGGCTGCAGTCGGGCGCAGGCAGCACCCAGGGGCGGCAGGCGCCGGCTCGGCCGCTGCTGCAGCCTCAGGCACCGCTGCAGGGCTCTGCACCCCCGGAGCGGACAGCGGTCAGCGTCCCTGCTCAGCCCGTGGCCGTGTCCCCAAGGCACAGCAGCCCGTCCCAGGAAGGCAAGGAGCCAGGAGCCACCAGGGTGACAGGGAGCTGCTGGCGTCCTGGGGACAGCGAGCGCCAGAGGGGGCTGCTCCCACCACCGCCCGTAGCACTCCCGGAGCAGGCGCATTCCCAGCCCCTCCTTGGATTCRGGGCTCCCCTGGGGCCACCCAGGGGTGCTGGGATGCCGGGTGACAGAGCAGGGCAGCGCGGGGCCCCGTCCCTTACCTGGGCTGGCGGCGCGGGCGCTCAGCGCGGGCGGCAGGGCAGCATCGCAGTGCGCGGCGCCTGGCCCGGCAGCCCCTTCTATACGGGCTGTCACGGAGCGGGATTAGTGCGGCCGCGCGGCGACGTATCCCTTACGGCGCAGGGGCCACCCCRCGTCGCCTTTCTCACCACCTGTCGCTGCTGGAGCCCGTTCAAAGGACACGCCACTGCGGCCGTCCCGCTGCGCACGGGGCCGGGACGCAAACAAACAGCAGGGGCGACGGAGCCCCGGCCAGGAGGGTGCCCTGCAGCGGGCGCTTACGGTGCTAAACGCGCGGGGTGAAAGGCCAGCGCTGCGGAGCTGCCCCCCGCTCTGCCCCCCGGCCTCGGTCCTTGCCCACAGGGCTGTTTCCAAAGGGGCCTTTGCTTGGTGAGAGCACCGCGGTGCCCCGCGGCACGGCCGCCTCCGAGCAGCGCCCRGGGGCAGCACCGGCACCTGCCCGCRGCCCTGCCCGGGATCCAGCTCCCCGGCTTTAAYTTGCGGCAAAGCCCTGGTTCTGAGACTGGGGACAGAGGCAGGAGCAGGGAGGCTCCTGCAGGACGGGGCCACGGGCACGGGCACCACGTGTGTCCAGCACCGTGTCCCGGGTCGGGAGGCGCGGGCGGCCCCACAAGCAGCGCGGGACGGGGCCACGAGGGCCCCGGGAGCTGCGGAGGCTGCAGGGCAGCCGGCCCAGGCGCCGCAGAGCCACCGCGGGCAGGGCTCGGCCGCCCCGGCGCAGCTCCAGCGGCCGCAGCCCACGCTGCTCTCCAGGCTCGGAGGAGCCCGAGCGGAGCAGCGTGTGGAGGGAAGGAAAGAGGCGGCTCTGGTCCCTTGGAGGTGCCAAGGCCAGGGCGCTGGCACAGCCGCCCTGCCCGAAGATGATTCATGTCCAGGGCTAGCCCRGGTGCCCGCCCAGCTCTCCGTGCCCGCGGAGCCAGGACTGCTCTAGACCCCTGGGGCTGAAGGAAAGCTCCGCTCGCCGGGTACGCAGCCCCCGTTGGGTGGCTCGGGTTTCTGCTGCGGGGTGAGGAGGTTATTCGAGACTCGCCGCAGGAACCTCTCGGTAACCGAGCCCAGGCCGCCCCTGCCAGCAGTGCCAGTTAAAGGATTCCCATAACAGCCTGGCAAAAGGGGAGACAGCCTCTCCGTGGGGGTCGGGCGGCCGGAATGCCAGCACGGAGCAGAGGGCGAGGAGAAGGATGGGGACCACCAGTGCCGCTCCTGTGAGCGGGGACAGCAGAGGCCACGGCGACGCGGAGCCGAGCGGCAGGACGGGGCGCTCGAGGTCAGGCACGTGCCCGGCCGTGCCGACACGTGGCACCGCTGGCCTGGCGCCAGGCCCGGCTCCCTCCGCTCAGCCAGCGGCTCCCGCGGGCGCCGGGCGCACGGGGCCCGGGCGGCTGCACCGGCACAGCCCTGCGGCGGGGCGAGCGCTGGCCCGGTGCCCCGGGGCGGGCGGCAGGGCTGAGATCAGCGCCGGGATCCCCGCTCCGGCCTCGCCAGCTGCACGGCCCGGCTCTTCCTCCGGCTCTGGCGTCGCTGGGAGCGCTCGAGCCCCGAGTCGCCCATTGGCCTCGTGGAACCAGCGACGCACGAGGCGGCCGTGYGGGGAGGGAGGCTCCGGGGTGGCCGGGATGGGCAGCGATGGGAGCAGCAAAGGTGGCGCCTCGGGCACCGGGGAAGGAGAGTCTCATTTGCACCAAGGGTCCCGACCTTGGCAATGAACCACTGCCACAAGAGGCAAAGCCGGGCAGGGAGAGCACCAGGAGAAAACTGCAGGAGGACCTGGAGCATCCTCCTTCCGAAGGGGCTGTATGGGAAAGGAGATGGGAAGCGGGATCCCAGCACCACACGCTGGGTGGGACAGGGCAGAGATGGGCACCGTGGGCAGCCCCCAGCCACGGCCACCCTCGTGCCAACGTCCCAGGAGGCCAGCGGAGGGGAAGSGACCCCTGATCCAGCGGGAGCAGCCCGGGGCAGCCATGGAGCTCGGGATAGGGCGGGATAGGTCAGCGCTCAGCGCCAGCAGACSCAAGCGACACCGTTTCACTGCATCGTCAAGTCCCGGCTCCTAACGAGGCAGGCGGGTGGCAGGGGCCAGGCTCCAGCTCTGCCTGCTGGGACAAGGCTCTCGGGGGAATTTAGCTAAGAGCAAGAAGGGATCTAAGTGCATCCGTCCCTCACCCACCAGAGATGCCCTGCTCCTGCTCTGGCCRCCCTGGGGTGCTGCAGGGAGGGCTGAGGCCCAGAGCTGCACGCGGGGAGCAGCGGCAGAGCAAGGCTGCAGTTTCTGTCGTTTCCTGCAGAAGAGCCCAGCAGCGAACAGAGCAAGAGGGAAAAGCTTAGGCGAGTGCCCCTTCCCTCCCGCAAACTGAAATAGTGGGGGGAGACGGACACATTCACGGCGCGCAGGGTAAGCAGCTCCCTGCGGCCCCGGGAGCAGGCGGCAGGTCCGGATCGGGCTGCTCGAGCACGAGAGGGGAGACGCAGAGGGGCTTCTTTCTCTCAGAGGGCACGCGGAGGTTGTCCCGGCCCAGCAGCTGCGGGAGCCCAGCAAGGTGCTCAGCACGGAGCCGCCACCCTGGCAGCGCCTGAAGGAAGTGACCTTTGGGGGATTAAACTGCAAGGCTGTGTTTTTTCCTATGCCTCTTAAGTCAAGGCTGCTGGGAAGGCTGAGCCCCGGGGTGCCCTGGCAGGGCCCCTTCAAGGTCGATCAGAGCTTTTTCCACGGTGCTGGAGGGGAAAGGAGCACAGGAGCAGGCTGGACAGRGAGGGCTTTGCAGTAGAGAACTGGCTTTTTTGACATACTGCAGTTACTGGCAGGGAGGACGATTTTCTTCCCGCCCCTGTCACAGCACCCAAGTCCTCCTAAACTCCACCGGGCAGCTCCCCAACAAGGCACAGGCCGTGACTGCACAGGAGGAAGCAGCCGATTACAGCGATGTTTCATCCTGCTTGGAAAACGTCCCCTCGGTCAGCAGGGCAAGGAGAGGTTCCTCCCTTTCCTTCGTCCCCCTCTCCTCCAGGAGCTGCTGCGCCCGCCTGGCACTAACTCACAGCCCCGACGTGCAGGGAGCAGGAGGCAGAGCCTGCGCTGGGGACAAAGCGGCACTGGAGGTGCCTCCCTTAAYGGCGAGGTAGCTCTGAAGGCCGAACRCTAAACGCTCRGGCGCTGCYGTGGGAGCAGCAGCAGCACCCCAGRYGTGGATGGGGGTCCCCRCGARGYRGCGGCTTCCCGCAGCGCAGGTAGCCCGGGGCTGCCGGCCGCCCCCGCGCGCTGCGCCGYCCCGTCCTTCGCGCCTCGGGTTCGCCGCCTTGGCGAGGCCGGCTCAGCTCAGGCCAACGCGCTTTCCGCTTACGAGATTAAAGACCGGATCTGTTAATTAACTGAGCGCCAAGAGGGGTGACGCGGGAGCAAAGGCGCTGCTTCCCCGCCCTGTAAACGGYGTGACACAAGCGCTGCCGCAGTTGCGCACGCGCAGGGGCCCCGCTGGCATCCGCGGCGCTCGGGGACTGCGGCAGCCTGCCAGGGCACAGCCACCATTCCTGCGGTGCGAGCCGGGCGCTGCCGAGGCCGGAGGGCTCCAGGGCTCCGCTGCCGGCGGTGAGGACTCGGGACACGGCCCGACTCGGGCGCACGGTCCCTGCCATGGCCAACGAAGTTTGGAATCACTCTCCTTGCCCCGCAACCAAGGGCCTGGCTGCCACCTCTTGGCGCACGTCACCGCCTCGGCCCCAGCTTCGGGCTCTGGGCAAGCCGGGGCTAGCAGGAGCACGTCCACTTACTGTGCAACGCTCCGCAGCTGCGACACGGAGCCACCAGCTCCTTCGCGCCCGCTCTTGCTCCGAGCAGCAGGATTCACAAGGAGATGCTGCAGCAAGACGAGGACAGCCAGTTTCTGGAGTCATTTTTCAATTTTTTAGAAGCCCCCGTGAGAGAACAGGGTTTGTTTGCAGAGATGAAGCCTCGGGCGAGACGAGGCAGTGAGGCAGTTAAGGTAGAGCAGACACTGCRTCGTCTCAGGAGCCTTCACCATTCCTCAAAAGCAGAGCTGTACGAAGGAAGGGCAGTTTTCAGACCACCCATGGTTTGGTGCTATTAAGAGATAACATCCATTCACAGTCAAAGGGAGATAAGCTGAACGACAACACAACCCCCTTACAAGAAAGTTATTGAGTGCAAGAGGGACAACAAGCATGTGCAAACCAGGCTTTGGTGTGAGATCCCAGCCCTGGGTGACCAGCATGGTGCCCAGGTCTCCCCCCAGACCAGCCCAACACCCCACGGCTCCGCTCCTCGGGCTGGCCACCAGTTGTTGGGGTTTTTCTCCCCTTTTCCCTT